TAATAATAATAATAATAATAATTTTAATGATTTGTATAGCACACCTAGTACGCGAGTATTCTGAGGCACTTAACATTAAGAGAAAGCATTGAATAATAACATTAAATAAACATATATGCAAAAGTTATTTACAAGTGTTGTATGTAAACATGCATAATCTATCTCTACTGAGGTAATTTAAATTTCTGCATATTTCCAAACTAATTCGCCACGGTTTTTTTTCGACTGTCTGTCTTCTTTGTTTCTCTTGAAAGAATTTTAAAAAAGCATTTGTTGTGGGTGCCCCTTGCTAGTCGCTCAACTGAGCCACTTCGATCCTAATCTCTCTAAACGACTACACGTTTTACCTTCGTTTGTATTTAAGATCATCCTGAGAGACATCAGTGAATGATAAATGGGTGGAAAATATCAACGCCTTGCCTCTGAAGCCGGATCCAAGACGTTAAAAACTGGTATTTTCTCCTATATTTTCTTTACCTGGTAAATGGGCTCCTGAAACTGGGATACCAACGACCTCTAACTGATGACGATCTGTTGGAGCTGTCTGACGAAAACAAGGCACAAGATCTAGTGGCCAAGTTACACGGGTTATGGATGGAAGAGATTAACAGCGCTGAGAAGAGAGGCAGAAAACCCCGTCTTTGGAAGGCCATGTCCAAACTATTCCTTCGAGATGTCATTCTCTTTACCGCTTTGAAACTGGTGGATGAAGCTATGGAAATTACTTTGGTAGTATCAGTGTGGTTTTATCTAAAGTACTTAGAAGAAGGATCCCACATGGACCAGACCTACGCTGTTGGTATAGTTGCTAGCATTGGGATTCCAAGTCTGATTAAGGTGTTCTTCTATCATCATTCTGATTACTTGGCTGTGTTGATGGGTGTGAGGTTGAAAAGTGCTGTTATAGGGTTGATCCATAAAAAGGTGAGGTGATAAAGGGGGTAAAGCTGGAATCAGATGGATTTATCATAATCTTATTGTGGTTATTTCATTGACACAGATCACTGAATCTAGACGTAGCGATCTCTCCAAGTTCACAACCGGTCATATARTGAATCTAGTGTCCAACGATGCCAAAAGAATGGATGAATTGGGCGTTTCATTGGCGGGAACACTATTATTTCCAATTGGTTTCCTTGCTGCATTCTTACTTCTACCTTTATTGGTTGGTTGGCAGTCCTTGTCTTGCCTTTTATTGATGTTCGTCTTGATCATAATAAACTTACTACTCACACRACTGTATACTAMCATTCGCCTKGAGCAAGYCAAAGTCACAGACAAGCGATTGGCAGTAATGAGTGAGATCATCTGTGGAATACGAGCTGTAAAGATGTATGCTTGGGAATGGAAATACAACGAAACAGTTCAAGCATTACGAGGGTATTTTCAAATTCTATTCTATTATTGTTCCTGTATATACTTATTTCAAAAAAATTAGTCACAAAAACCTATTATAAAGGTTGAGACCGCTGAGGTTCATGGAAAAAATTTCATATCCAACAAATAATAGTTCTTTGCAGACTCTATGATCGCACGAATGACGGCTAGTGAACCATTCTACAATAATACATGGATATTTTGAACGAAAAGACAAAGGAACGCATTCCTGTGTCATATTTTCACCTTTCAGTGCCCTTAAAAACTCTCATAAAGTCGAACAAAAATCCCTACAAAAATCTATTTTTTCATGTTTTAAAAAGATTAACTTTATCTAAAAAATTGATATGATCTGGATTTTTAGGAGTTTTTTTCGAATAAGCTATTAAGAGAGGAAAGATAACTAGCTAAAAACTAGTGTGAGCTGCGTCCGAAACGTCAGTAGGTTTTTTCATCTTTTCACGGTGTATAATTTACCCTTTTATCATTACGATTAAGAGAGGATGTCAGCAAAAATCAAACATACGCCGACAACAGTCGAAAAATCGAATTTGCTCACTCGATTTAGTATTAAAAAGACCTTGAGGCAATATAAACCATGGTATACTTCATTTGCCGAAATCATCGCTTTATTTCCGACAAAAACGAGAAAAACCAAATCGTGCGTAATTCATTTTTATTCATTGACCCCCTGAAAGAGCCAAAATGTACTCCAACTTTGGGGGTCTCGCATGCTTTTGCAAAAGCATGTACAGAATTATTTCTTTAAACATTGAATTAACTAATGTTTTAGCTTTAAAAAGCCATACTTTCTTAACATTTGAATAAATTAATGGTTGCGAAAAAAATTAATCACCAGGGTATTTCAACGCCTTATCAAAGGCGAGGAATTTTCAAAAATTTTTTTTTTTTACACATGTGCTAACTAAAATAAAAGGTCGATATTAAGAAAACGAAAGTCGACATAAAGTCCTATTCGTGAATAAAGGGATTTTTTAGGGTTTTTGTTCTGCGACGAGTGATTATGAAGATTTAAAGTTAGAGAAACTTGCTATACTTTACGATACTTTTAATAATGACTGTTTTAAAATTCATTAAGGAGCACTTGGTATACGGATTTTCCCTTCATATCATCTTTTTTCAATAAAAGAAATAGAAAACACATAAAAGAATGTTGGAAATGACAGGTTGTCTGAAATGGTACAACGCATGTTTATTCAAATGCAAATCTATTCCAATGACCATTTGCTTTGTGACTATCTTCTTTCATAATATCCACATTCAATCTTTTTGTTCCAGGAAAGAAGTGAATCGTAACAAACAAAAGAATAGCCTACGAGTAACATGCGAAMCGCTAAATTATAACGTAAAACCAATGGCATCCTTCTTGTGTGTGGTAACGTTAGTGTACAGTGGAATAAGAGTAGATGCTGCTAGGGCTTTTACACTGGCAATGATATTAGACATTTGTGCGAACTGCATGGTTTCGAAGATTACTTTTAATGTTCTCAACCTGAGAGATTCTATAGTTTCCATAAATAGGATCGAGGAATTCCTATGTAATTGTCCAACATCAGTGGATATAAGTACAAGTGCCATAATATCATCAAACGATGCTCAACCGCGTAGGATTGGAAATTTGACTTTTACCAAAAATATTGATAGCAGGAGAGCAACATGTATCGAACTGGACACTGAGCCCAGAGTAGATGTAATCGAGATATCAGCAGCCTGGACAAGTCAACGAAAGAGTGTTTTACACCAAGTCTCGATGGTAGTACGATCAAACCAGTTACTTATAGTCACAGGACCTGTTGGCAGTGGAAAGAGCTCTTCACTGATGGCTATCCTTGGGGAAATTCCCACAACTGAAGGGGAGATTACGGTCCATGGTCGAACAGCTCATGTTAGCCAAATACCTTGGATCTTCTCGGCTACCATTCGTGATAATATTATCTTTGGACGACAATTTGACGAGTCTCGATACAAGAGAATACTAGAAATATGTGACCTTGAGAAAGACATCAAGTGCTTCCCTCATGAAGACTTGACCATCATTGGCCAGAGAGGTGTAGGTCTCAGTGGTGGTCAGCGTGCAAGACTCAGTCTAGCTCGCGCAGTCTACTCAGAAGCAGATATCTCCTTACTGGATGACCCACTCAGTGCAGTTGATGCTAGGGTTGGACAACACATCTTTGATAAGTGTATCTGTGGAGAGCTGTCGAATCGAGTAAGAATTCTGGTGACGCATCAAGTACAATACCTTCCACGAGCTGACAAGATAGCAGTAGTAAGAGAGGGTGCTGTTCTTCTCGGGACATATTCGGAATTGAGCGAAAACGGAATAGTAGATACCTTACAGAAAAGACATGAAGATACTACAAGCGACTACACATTACTTGAAGAAGTCGTTCATTATAAAGATGATAATTCTAAAGACATGAGGGAGGAAGATGAAGAGAGAGCTACTGGTACGGTGTCTTGGCGGTCGTACTGGAGGTTTTTCAGGGCTGGATTACCAACTTTTATCATTGGCTATCTTGCTATTTTCTACATAATCGCTCAAGGTAATTTGGCCTTAATTGTATGATAGGTATTCAAATTTTTAAAAAGAAATGTAAACATTTCTTTTTAAGTAATTAAATGGTCTTTTTTAGAGATTACCTCACCCTTAATGGCCGTAATTATTGTTAAAGTCCTAAATGGTAGAGCGCACACCATATATCTGGAGAAACCTCAATTTGTAAGAAATTGCGCAAATCTGCACAAATTAGCCGGTAAGTTCATTAGAGCTCAGTAGACCGCAGACCTTCAAAACTTTGCACTAATTTGTACAATTTGTACGATTTTAGAATCCCTTACATATTTCATAACCAGAACGTCATATATCAAGTCACCCAAACCTTTCGTACACATGGAATATTCTTCACACAGAAACATCCTTATTCAAAAGAAGAAGAATTGAAGGACTCTTTATTGCACGTGAACAGCCCAGCCTAAACAAACAAGTCCAATGTTTTATCGCCGGCCTTTATCCCTATGGGATTTCATGAACTACTTAAACTGTTGTATATTTAAATTAACCTCATACTGAAGATCACTTTCACAGTCGAAAACGTTTTATTTCAAAACTTTAAAAAAAAATCATTTCTAGCCTTGTAAATATGTATTGTACAATTTTGTTAGTTAACTTTTACAACGATATATGGTATACAGTAAAAGGTCACCTGAACTAACAAAAAAGCCATACCCTTATCATTTTTTCATGGACGAAATACAAAATCATTTATATATATCGTTGATGTCTCGCGCAAGGTAATTTAGCATTAAATATAACGTGCGCATGGTTAAGCAGAGGATTGCCTCACTGTTTAACATTCTCAAATTTGGTATTTTTCCTGATTTAGTAAGCTTTATTGTATCCTGGGTTAGAGTTTTTTGTTTTGCTGAGTATTGTTTAGCTCCAAATTCATTGTCTTTGGCTATTGTTTTATTGCCTTCATACTTCAGGCGCCTTCCAGCACCAAGAAAGGGCCCCAATTTGAGGCATAACACTGATAGCCTAACGATTTCTTCATGATTGTAAGCTGCATGGTTACTAACAGCGCCTTAATATGCATCATCATCATCATCATCATCATCATCATCATTATCGTCATTCTGCTCCTCCTACATAGTTTTGAGTTGATCACATTACTGGTTACTTTTAAGATTCGCGAAAATATAATACTTCCCATCGGAATATTTAAAAAAAACTTTCATCAGTGTTTGTTAGAACCTTATATAGAAAATTGTTTTTGAAAAGTTCATTCATTTTTGTCCAAGAAGCACTTAAATAGTGTGTAATGGACAAAAGCCGGTCATTCACTCTGTTGCTTACTCATATTAACGTACATTCTCATTCGTGTAGCGTTTTTGGTGGTTCCAACTTGGTGGATGTCACGAATAGTTCATATGACACTACAGGACCAAAGAGGTTCCTTCTCCTTGGGCGTGTTTGGTGGTTTGGTTGGAGCATCGTTGATTCTTTCCTTAGCAAAAGATTTGGCTTTTGTAAGCGCAATTTTGAGGTCTACAAGAAAGCTGCACGACAAGATGACACTGCTTGTTATCAAGTCTCCTGTTCTGTTCTTTGATACCAATCCTGCTGGACGAATAATGAACCGCTTTTCCAAAGATATCGGTGCTATGGATGATCTGCTGCCCATCCAATTCCTCTATTCGGTTCCTTCGTGCTTGGATATAGTTATAGTTATGTTACTGGTGAGAGTATGTGGACCGCGTGGCACTAATGAAATAGTAGAAGATAATATAGGTAAGTTGTAGTGCTTGGGAACGAGGTTATTCCGGGCGAAAGCCCTTGGAATTAAATTCGGAAAAATTAATTTCCGACCTCGCTGGGAATCGAACCCACRMCCTTCGGAATTGTACTACCGATGCTCTACCAGCTGAGCTAGAGGTCAGACTGAGAGCAGGCCGGGGTGAAATAGATGTTAGGTCGCGGTAATTATGATGCAAAGATGAGAGTATGTGTTGCTGTCATTCCAATGGCAATGCTGTTATTCTTGATTGCTGCGTATTACCTGAAGAGTTCTCGTGAGCTGAAGAGAATAGAAGCGATGAGATGTAGTCCTGTCTATGACCATGTTGCCGAAACCATTACAGGGTTAGAAGTCATTCGAACATCAGGGACAGGTAAAAAACAGCATAGCATTTTATTATTTCTAAGTCAAAACCGAGTGTGTTAAACAATCAGTGTCTTCGGTTTGACATGATCAGGGTAGCTATCGCCAGTTCCAAAAAAGTAATGGAATTTAGTCTTCCATGGTAGGTGTTGCAGCTTGCAAACTCTTTCACAAACAACTCAGTTCGGAGGAAACACTTTTCATTATTGCCAATTCCCTTACAAAAACTACCTCGTACATATAGTTATGAATTGGTGTCACCGTATATGAAATATCGTTTCATTTTATTGTATAAAATATTTATAATTTTAAATTGCTTGCAGCTAATCCCCTGTCCATCTTCGATATTTTTTGCACTCGTTGTCGCCCTTCTGTACTAATGACTTCATTTTCACAGGCTTCAAGATGAACATACAAAAGCCTTTTTCCTAGTCATGGCAACATCTCGCTGGCTTGGACTGTATGTGGATTTGCTGTGTGCCTTTTTCTTGGCGGGGGTAGCCATTGTAGGTCTGGTTGCTATTCACGATCACGGTAAATATACAAATATTTGAACCATAATTCATTCAGGAATGCATTCCTTTTGAAAACATGTAAACGAATATTTCAAACATTATTCGGTTACTGATTAGATTATAGCCATATTCGTTGCATCGCGACTCTCCGTTTCACAACTTCGATTGGATTTTGGTCTTTTCCAAGCAGTCAATCATCTGGCGCCTATGCAGATTACCTTTGAACTTATGCTGCTCTTTTTGAAAATCTGAACGGGTCGAGGATATTCGAAGGAGTTCTAAACGGAAAACGATTTACAAGTAACTGTATTCTTTCTGCTAAGTATTGGCGGTCTTCTTTTTGCTCATACTCATAACTTCAGGATATTTGAGCTACGAGTTCTCATTCCGACACTGAAAATTTCTCACGATTGTTGACAGAATCAGACGAGGTAAACTAGCTTTCGACTTCTTTCTTCAAAACATTTGACTGCAAATTAACTCTGTTTGTACTTGAAAGCAAATCATTTCAGTGGTTTTGATAATATTTTGAGAATTACAAACGTTTCGAGCTACTCTCCCTGCATTACTATTATGAACTGTCGATAGCTGAAAAATTGAATTGTAATTTTGCCAACTCGGACTGAAAGCCTTCTATTAATCTGGAATCAACTCTTCTACCTTGTAATAGGCGTCAGTTTAGGCCCAGTTTAGATGTCGAATTTGATGTGCCATATTCAATCCCTATTTTAGTCAACTACAATGATTTAAATGCAGCAACTTGATTTAGACATCACATTTGAGGTGTAGAAACAGTTTGAATTTGATTTCAATAGGTTGAAGGGTTTCACTGAACAAGTTTGGGTTTCATTTGCATAAGCGCCAGATGATTGGCGGCTCGGAAAAGACCAAAATCCAATCGAAGTTTTGAAACGGCGGGTCGCGATGCAACGAATATGGCTGTAAACAAACACTTACACTTCTGACAGAACGAGTTGACACCATTAAATCTCGGGATATCTGTTTTTTGGAATGTCCAATATTGTATAGATTGAGGATCTCCTCTGTAAATGAGTTGCCAAGAGATCTCCCGGCTCGTAAACCCTTCCTTTCTGGCTTCTGGCCACCATCTTGGAAAACGGGTTTTTCTGCGACGGGCTTCCTGTGTATATTTTCTATATGGCATATCTTTTTTTGTTTAATCCAATCAGTAATCGAATGTTGTTTTGAATATTCATTTACATGTTTTCAAACGGAATGCATTCTTGAAACAAATAATGGCTTAAATAATCATATAATCAAATGCATTCTAGGGGGGTAGGTACGCTTGACCTGATTTGACTTTAAACGAGGGAGACAGTTCCATGCTGGTATACAGCGAACAAAAAAGAGTACTTGCACGATTCGAAAGTAGCAGGTAGAAGCTTGTGTGTCTTGCGGTGTGTCTTTCTGGTACAGAAAGTATAAATAGACAGGTCACTATGAAAAGGTATATCAACTAAGTTGTAGTGATTCCAACAGACTAAGGGCAAAATAGTTTTTTTGTAACGTTTTGATTCTCGGGTTTAACTGGAATGTTGCTGTCACTTTCTATCACTCTCTTCGGTACTACCCAATACGGTATACGCCTGACTACTGATGTCGAGAGTCAAATGACGTCAGTCGAACGAGTGATGAGGTATACTGAGCTACATTCTGAACCTGGGTACACCAGACAAGACAAACAATCAGATGACTGGCCCAGTCAAGGTTCTTTGTCTATACGAGACTTGTCCATGGTGTATTTAGAAGGTGGACCCTCAGTACTAAAGGACATCAACCTTGATGTTCAACCCAAAGAGAAGATTGGTATCGTAGGTCGCACTGGAGCAGGCAAGTCATCTCTTGGAGCTGCTCTCTTTCGGTTGCCCGATCCTCAAGGCCAAGTATTTTTTGACGGTGTTGATCTTGGCACCATTGATATACAGGCTGTGCGCAGATCCATGGCTGTTATCACTCAAGACCCTGTGCTCTTTGCTGGAAGCCTCAGAAAGAATCTAGATCCATTCAATCGTTTTACAGACCAGGCCATCTGGACAGCACTTGATGAAGTACAACTGATGAAGAAAGTCAGCAAACTGCACCATCAGCTAGACTACTGTGTAGGGGAAGGAGGGTCAGGATTTAGTGTAGGTGAACGACAACTGCTGTGTCTTGCTCGAGCGTTATTACAGAAGTGTAAAATACTTGTGCTGGATGAAGCAACAGCCAACGTGGATTACAGGACAGATCACCTCATTCAGCAAGTAATCAGGCAAAAGTTTACCAAGTGTGCTGTGCTGACCATAGCTCATCGAGTGAACACCATCATGGACTATGACAAGGTAGTGGTTCTTGACCATGGTCACGTGGTGGAATACGATAATCCCAGAGTTCTTGCTGGGAAAGAGAATGGCTTCTTTTCAAGATTGATAAAAGGACATAACATGTTCGATAAAATTTGATGTAGCTGGGAGTT